GCCGTTCAATTCATAAAATGCAACTCTGTAGGGTTAATAATTAATTTTAAAGAAAAAAAACAAATATAAAAGAACCATACAAGCTCAATGCTTGCTGGGAAATTCTGGGGGTTTAAGTCCACAAATTTTAATGTTGCTGAGATTGAGAAACACTGTTCTAAAATGTCAAGTAGCCATATTTCTCATTATCTAGGAGCCTCAAAATGCTTGCTTGTTTTTAGAAAATAAACCAGGAACAAGCTTATGTGCTATGTAATAAGTGAAATGGCTAAATTATTGTGTCACAGATAATACCATGAAGTGTTATCAGATATACTAAAATTAATTGTTTGATTGTTGAATAAGTTTGTAATCTGTGTAGAAAATATGAGCTAATAATAACACTGGATGTTATTATTTATTCTGAAGTAAATGTATTAATTTTAATTGTGCTGCAAATTAATATTCAGAGACAGTTTTAGCATATGCATATAGAATTTGTCTGAATAGAAGACTTAGTATCAAGCAAAATAGATATTTAGGAAGATAGGGCGCTATAGGAAGATAAGAAATTAGGGGAAAATTCCTTCTTCCTCTTCCACTTTTAAAATCATGCAGCCAATATTCTTTTCTTCAATGGATACTATTTAATCACTTTCCTGCATCATCTATAAAAATCTGAATTTAGTATGTAACCTATATTGTTAACTTTGGTTTGATTGGCAGGACTGTTTTCTTTTTTTGAAAGATACAAGAGTTTTACTCCTACTTTCACATTAGAATTGTATACATAAGTATAAATACCTAAAGACTAAAGGGTAGGTTAACTCCCCCAAAAATTGTAATATGTGCTAAGTAAGAATGAAAATTAAATACCCCTTAGCTGCTTCCCCCCACCCCCAATAATAGAGTGATGCCTGAATGCTGATTTGAGAAATGCTATGATATTTCACCATAAGAGTTGTCTGAGCAAATGAGGGGGAAATTAATACCATCGCTTCAGTCATTGGATATGATTGACAGTATATGATATGAAATAATAGTCTTTCAAAAGCCATGTATTTTAGATCCTCAAAGGAATTGCAAAGTTACTGCATTTCAGGTCAAGATCTTGAAGTAGCACAATTATCAAGAAGTGCCAAAATTGTTTCCAGTGTTTTAAAAAAATGTGCTAATTTAAATAAGAAATTGTCTGTCATTTTTTATTTTCTGGGGATCGCGTATAATAGATTTTATTTTAAAATCTATTTTAAAAGTGTAATGATGGCCAATTTTGGCCTGCATTTCCTTCATTTCAAAAACAGCCACATTTCAAAGAAATACTCATTTGAATTTTTTTCTTTTTAAGTTGTATATTGAATTGTTTTGGATTTGAGTATGCTACACCAGTCTGTAAGTGTGGGGGGGGGAAATATGTTGTAACGTGAAAAACAGTTCAGCACTCCTAATTTGAAAGTTAGTTCTGCTAAATTAGTTTGATTTCATTCCGAACAAATTATTTAAGGACAATTAGTTTTCTGTTTGTTAAAAAAAGTACTGCTAGCTGGTGCTTTCTTCATATTTGTCAGATTTGATTTTTTTTCTTGTTTAGTATTTTAAAAGACTCTTTGTTGAGAAACATCAAATCATTAGATTTGCTAAACCTCTGTAGTACCACATACAGCTTCTGTTACTCCAAGGAAAATTTTGTTGTTTTTATTATTCAGAATATGTTTTCTCTGGATCAAAATTGTAAAATGAGTTTTATCTATGAAGTAGATGCATTTTAACACCTGTCTTTGATTAAATTCAAACTATGTATTTGCAGTAAACAACAACAGTAAGATCCACTTTATAAGCTGTACTTAGTAATCCACTTAGCCTGATTGTACCACCAAACTAACTCAGCATAGTTGAACTTGGCTAGTACTTGGATAGTAGCTTGTCAGAAATTCCTAAGCTGTAGGATTTATTGCTAAGACTACAAAGACATATCCCTAAAGTTATTGGGAATCAAGTTTGACCCAAGAGACTATTTCCTTTTAAAAAAAATACACACCACAACCACGTTTGCAAACCTCAGGTAGTTTTCATGCACATTCTTTTGGAGATCCTAAGTTGGCCCTTGTATGTTGCGTGCCCAAGACTGTTGACTCTCTCATTTGATGTTTGTCTTCCATATATAATTCATATACAAGCTGTTTTCTTTTTCCCCCTTTTATAGAAATTATTGAGCCTACCACTACTAGTCGTGTCTCAAGTTCAGGTCAGTATCCCAGTACACCCCCAAAGTATGCTTTGGTACCCTCTTTTTCCCTTTTTGAGGAATGACAATACATATGCTGCCATATCAATCTACATCACTTGTACGACTTGTCATAACAAAGACTATGACGACTCACCAAGGAAAAGACGAACACATCAGTGTCAAACACAACGAGAAACCCGTTTACGATCAGACGGAAGTATCTAAAAAAAGTAATTTCACGAAGAGAGAAAGACACACAGGATTTCTAGTGGATCGTCTACGTATCACAACCGTGGTAACACTTCGTAGAAACGAAAACGACTCCCTTTGCGATATTATCTGTGTTAAGTTGTTTATTGGCTGTTCTGCTATAAGCAAGGTATTTTTATGGGCTTTTGCTTTTTTCTTTCCTTTCAGCTCCTTTTTGTGAATATTATGTGCAACATTTATTGCTAAATGTTGAATGTATTAATCGGTTTAATACTATATTAATAACAGGACGGATGTTTGGCAGAGAAAACGATTTTCACTGTAGAAATCTGAACTGAGGAAAACATTACAAGTTCCAGAAATTAGGAGTTATTTACAAAGCCAAACCTGAAAAAATGAAATATGGCTTGATAGGAAGCTCATTATAGCCAACAATAATTTCAGTAGAATAACAGAGTTTAGGTTCAGGAAAAATAAATTATAAAATTAGGGAGAACCGGTAATATGGGAGGCACCATAGTGTAGCAATTAAGGTACTGGACTTGGATGAGGAAAGCTTTCTCGTCAGTGTGAAATTTACTGAGTACCAAGGCCAGGCACTTACTCTCAGTATAAGGTATATCATGTGCTCCTTATTGTTGAAATAAAATTAGGTGAGACACACTTACACACTCCTTATTTTAAGTCCCCTTGAGCTCTCAGAGGAAAGAACAGAATGCACATACATAATTTTATTAACTATTTGAGGAATGTCATATTTCCTCATCTGGGCAAAATTATAATTGTGAAATCAGGTCCGACATAATGTATTTCATTTTAGACTGTACAATACTGCCAGTCTGCCAATACTACTAATGGCCACCAGCCTGCTGCAGTCTGAGTGTCCTATTGTTGGCAGTTACAGGGCTGAGGATAATTATTAATAGGACACGCTACAGTAGTGGCTAGGATTTATCTTCTTCTTTGCTTTTTTTTTTTAGATTTTTATCCTGCCTTTTTTTCATACACAAATCAAGGTGGCAAACATACATAATACTCTTTCTCCCTCCTATTTTCCCCACAACAACAAACCTGTGGTGTAAGTTGGATGCAGAGAAAGTTATTAGCCCAAAGTCACCCTGCTGGTTTTTCATGCCTGAGGTGGATCTAGAACTCACAGTCTCCTGGCTTCAAGGTCAGCACCTTGATCACTACACCAAACTGGTATAGGCTCTTTTTTGTTCCTAGTGCCAAGAATGAAGAAAAAAGGGAAGAACTCACCAGGAGAGATTTCACTAAGGGGGAATCGTTGCTAGCAATAGGATTGAACAGCAGTATATTTATTTCTAGCATACCAACCTAATCTCACCAAAGGAAATACAAGATGTAAAATGATTTACATATTGGCAGGACAAGAAGCAACGGGTGGAAACTAAACAAAGAGAGAAGCAACCTAGAACTTCCTGACAGTTAGAACAATTAACCAGTGGAACAACCTGCCTCCAGAAGTGGTGAATGCTCCAACACTGGAAGTTTTTAAGAAGAAACTGGACAGCCATTTGTCCGAAATGGTATAGGGTTTCCTGCCTGAGCAGGGGGTTGGACTAGATGACCTCCAAGGTCCCTTCCAACTTTATTACTATTATTATTATTATTATTATTATTATTATTATTATTATTATTATTATTATTATTATTATTATTATTATTTGATTGTTATTTATTTATTAGATTTATATTGCACCATTATTTTGTACAGCTGAAGGTGACAGGCATAATGCTCGTTCCTCCTGTTTTCTTCACCTATGAGGTGAGTTTGTAAATGACCCAAAGTCACCCAGATGATGTCCATACCTAACGTAGGACTAGAACTCCCAATTTCCCATTTTTTTCTCTAATATCTGAATTGATACAGTGAAGCAGTCATAGTCTGTTCTGTTGGGATGTAGGAGATGATCTAAGTTATGAACTTGCATTGGACCTAGAAGATAATATTTGAACCTTATTTTCATAGAGATGGTTGATATAGCACTTGCTAGGATGTACAGCTACAGCTTGTAGTGACTTTCAATTATATGGTTCATTCACTTAAAAAAAATAGGAATGTGATTAATCAAGATTTGGCAAAGAAGAATGCAGTTTAGATGTTTAACTATCCTGTCGTGGGGAATAAGTAATGAATGATGAGGAAGAACAAATTAGAAAATTATATAATATGGAGAGGCTTTTATTTGTTTTTTTTCTTAGAACAATTCTGATCCTGATTTTCATTTTCTGTTGCTAACATTGATAGTAATCTTTCTTCTTAATATTAGTTTATCACACTTTCTCTAACAGCCTCTTGGCAGTAAACATCTCTTGTTTGAAGCAGACTATTAAATCTCAGTCAACATCAGAAATACTTCAAGGCAAAAAAAATTTAACATATGCTGAAAAAACAAACATAAATTCTTGACAATTTGACAGGCAGGTGTTTCTGATGAACACTGCTGCAGCTGATGACAACTCAGAGATACTGGCACATGTGGATGTACGCTAAACCAACTTTATCTACTGAAGTTTTATAGTGAATTTTAAATGTTTAGTGAAATTGACTCATGGGCAAGAACCTGAAGAATGAAATGAGGAATGTGGCAAAAAATGAATGCTTCCTCTTCAGTTGATGGGTTTTGTCAAATAAAATTATAGGGAAACTGATAGGGTAGGAATGAAGAAAGAGATGGAGGAAAAGTCAGGTTATTGTATAAGAGATTAATCATAAGGAATTTGCATATTTGGAGAATATATCTTAACTGATAAAAATATTGGAGAACTTAGTTTAGTGAGGGAACCTTTGCTTTGCATGAAAAAAAAAATCCAGACTTTGCTTGGACCTTGCTCTATCCTTCCTTGGCCCAATGAATGTTCAAGTAAAATGAAGGCATTTTTCTAAAAGAGAATTTATGAACTAGATCAGACCACCACACTTAAGATTATTGCTTCACTTACCAGCTTGCTGAAGAATCAGCATTATTTTTCTTCATTTCTCTGCCATCAGCTGTTTTTCATGCTGTGTTAAACCTTTTAAACTTTGCTGCCTCAAACTTTTCCCAACAACGTGAGGCCATCTCACAGTATCCTTAAAGAGCACCAATCAACTTAGCTTCTTCTCTGATCCATGATAAATAGAGGTATTGGGAATTAACTTTCAAAATTGTTAACTGCTTAAAGTATCAGTAGCTCAGCCTTCCCTCAATATATTAGCAACTTTGCTTAATGGGATATTTCATTTCATGTTTCATTTAAAGCTGAACTACATACCATAATACAAAACTTGCAGGCAAGAATAACTATATATTACTGCCTGTGTACATGAAATTATAATATATTCTGCTACCATTTATTAATGTTTATAAAAGGAACATCTGTTGAACAAATAATTTAAAGCCTCTATTTGTGGTTTGGTTGATAATAGTTACATATTAAAATTCCAATGGGAAATATAGTCATCTTACAAGACCCTCAAATAGCACCAATGCATAACATAATATTATATTATTGAAAACAATTATTTAATTCAGACTTGTCAAACAAGACAACTTGTGAAATTCTGAACAGCTGTTCAAAGCAAGATTGTTATATGCATATTACATACATAGTAAGTTTCTTCCAAGCAATTAATGAACATATTAAAGAACTGCAGCCTATTTTAGTCCATTTAATACCTCTGCTCAGTTTGATGAGTTAACTATTGATGACCAATCCCTGAATATGCTTTTCAAGGCAATGGTGCTTTGTTGTAGCTATCAGATCTTGGCAGGAAACACCGAGATGGACAGACACTAATTAGAAGCAACAACAATTTTCAGTATTTCTTGCTGCCACCAAGTGGTCATCCATCATGCATGACACATGTTGTAAAAAATATGTAGAAATTTTAAAATGATCCCTGGGGGATCCATTAATGTAGCAGAAAATTCACCTTGCTAAATTGTATATGTCATACATTGTCTTGGACTTTATCTGTGATATACAGCTGTGGCTGCCTTATAAACACAACTGACAAATCCTGAAAAAAAAAATTGGCCAAGCTTCATTACATTGGCAAAATAATTATTCCTGTCTAGCTGTATTCAAATCATTAGCATTTAACACAACTACATTTATATTTATAGAATTTCAGCCCAATGTGAAACGATTTATGGAAAAAAAAACCAACCCATATTTCAGATAAAGAATTGTAGCTTTTCAGAATGTTTGTATGGATAGTACTTCATATTTTAATAGATAAAATATAGGAATCCACTCTCTACCAAGGATTTTATAAAAAAAAAACTATTTTATTCAGTTTTGGACTGGTCTATTTCTCAGACCTGCTTGAAGATGATGATGATTGAACCCAACAACTATGTGTTGTGTCATTGAGTCTCTTTTGGAATTTTCTCAAAGTAAGGACTTGTTACCATATAGGAAGTTACTACTGAAACTCAAAATTCTTGGATGTGCAAGTTCCTACTCTTTATATTTTACAAGTGTTTTTATTGGTTGAAACTACTGGCTGACTTCTGTAAGAGCTCAGAAGCTAAGCTAAACTGCTTAGTAATTAGATGGGGGCACACCAGGGAATACCAAGCACACAAGTTAAAGTGAATATTTTGAAAACAACTTAAAAGAAGAAAATGGCAAATTACTTCAAGACAGTATTTTGCCATTGTCTTCTTCTAGTCCTTGAAGAGGATTGTATTGATGTGCTCATGAACTCACCAGCCATTAAGCTAATTTTGAACGAGACTTTCCTTTCCTTTCTAGATTTAAAAGAGTATCAATATGGAAAAATATATTAGTAGCTA